GATGAAGAGCTGGATGCAATCGTTCTCTATGCTCAAGCTAGGGTATTTTATTTAAAACAAATGAAAGGTTTCACTAAAGACATGGAGCAGGCAGCTGTTGATAATTTGCAGATAGCATCATGGCTTGCTCTTTTTGTATCAGATCATTTTGGAGGTAGTGATAGAAATGCTATTGTTGAAAAGATGAGAAAAACAGCATCTGGTATGAACTACAGCAAGCCTTTTGTTTGCACTTGTTTGACCAGAAATAGTGACACGAACAACAGTCGCACATCTACACAGATTTTGGGTACCGTAGAAGATATTAATTTTTCTGATATCTGTGAGAGTTCTTTACGGTCAATAAAGTCTAAAAGGAATAGCATTGTAGTTCCTATAGGTGCCATGCAGTTTGGTGTGTGTAGGCACAGGGCACTTCTCTTGAAGGTATTGCTTGCTCTTTTTTGTTTGAACTTTGTATCCATCTGTTTTGTGTGAGTTCACCTTTAGATTTTTTACTTATTAGGAGCTGCCAAATTACGTCCTTGCAGTATCTATGTGATCAAATGAAGCCTCCAATTGCTTGTGAGCTTGTAAGAGGTTACTTGGATTTCATGCCACATGCTTGGAATGTTATTCTTGTCAAGAGGAATGATTCATGGGTCCGGATGGTAGTCGATGCTTGTCATCCACATGATATAAGAGAAGAGTCAGATCCTGAATATTTTTGCAGGTCATCCCTTTTAGTTAATGCAAGTCTTGCTTCACATTAACAGACATACCTATGGATATTTACTTTAAGTTGAATTGTCTATCTGTGCCGACTATTCAATTTGGTATAGCTGTATGGATATCTAGGCTCATTGAGAAGGGCTGCACATTGTAAGCTGTATATTTATAGGCCACAATAATTGACCCTTTGAAGTGCAATCCAGTTTTTTGTAATCATCAAGGCATAGTCTGAGTTTAATTTATATTGTTGCAGTCATTCAACCTTCAGGGTAAAACATAAAGTTATTTTGAGGGGTACAAGTTAATCTATAAACTAGCAGGCTATTTGATGGTCTTTTTTTCTCTTAAATCTTTTTTTTTTTATTTTTAATCAAGCAGATGGTCTTGTTAGTTGTCATGCATTCTCATGTCCAGTTTGTATTTTGTGATCATTCAACAAGCATAGTTTTCTAGTATCCAAATCTCTTGTTGTTTTCTTTAATAAATGTTTTTGAAGTGTTTTAAAACATTTGTTTTGGTTTTGCTATAGCTCTGATGGGTACTCAATATTACAGGTATATTCCCCTCAGTCGTATGAAGGTTTGTCCTGAGGGTGAAAGCAGTTCTGTTCTCAGCCACACCTTCCCTTCACTATCCAAAAGTGATGAAATTGAAAGAGCTCCTTCCAGTTCCGTCATTCTGTGCAAGTTTGGATCAGTGGATGCTGTAGCAAAGGTGTGTGCTTGAAACTTCTTACCAGGTTTATATTGAAACAGCCAGGAAATTCATGCAAAAAAAGAAAAAAAGAAAAAAAAACCACTAGCAGTCTGATGAATTCTCTATTGCTTGGAATAGGTGCTGGTTGACTTTTTGCCTTATCAATGAAATTGTATTTTTTTTTTTTTTAATTTTCAGTAAAAACTTTACAAGAATTTTAGGTTTAAAAGTCGTTAATACTTTGATGTGGGAATTACAGGTACGTACTTTAGAAGTATGGGGGACATCAGTCGCAGAAGTTAAAGACTTTGAGTATAGTTGTCTGGGAGAAATAAGGATATTGGGTGCCCTGAAACACCCATGCATAGTAGAAATGTATGGACATCAGATATCTTTCAAGTGGATTACTGCAGAGGACAGAAATTTAGAGGGTCATGTAATGCAGTCTGCTATTTTGATGGAGTTCATAAAAGGAGGATCTTTAAGGGTAATTGTCTTACTTGTTAAATGTGACCTCTCTTTGCTTTATTGCTTTTGGTTTATCTTGATTTGTACTTCTTACTGTTGACAGAGTCATATTGAGAGGCTAGCAAAAGCTGGTGGTAAGAAGCACGCCCCTGTAGACTTGTCATTGTGCATTGCGAGAGATATTGCATGTGCATTAGCAGAGCTGCATGCCAGGCATATTATTCATCGAGACATAAAAAGTGAAAATGTACTGATTGATTTGAATGAGAAGAGATCTGATGGGAGACCTATTGTCAAGCTCTGTGATTTTGATAGAGCTGTGCCTCTAATGTCTTCTCTGCATACATGCTGTATAGCTCATTTAGGAATTCCTCCTCCCAATATATGTGTTGGAACACCTCGTTGGATGGCTCCAGAGGTTCTGCATGCCATGCACAACCATAACTTCTATGGATTAGTAAGTTCATTCTCTTTTAACAGATTAATTTATTATTCACTCTCTATTGCACAGTTCATCCATACTAAACCTTTACGGTAATTATTAAATATAACAGTGTTCATTCAGAATTATAATAAATTAATCATATGCCAGAAAATTGCACTTCGATTACATATTTATGTCAATCTGTTATTACTGGCTGGTTGCAGGAAGTGGACATTTGGTCGTATGGATGCTTGCTTTATGAATTGTTGACTCTACAAGTTCCATATTGTGGGTTGTCAGAAGTACAGATTCATGAACTACTTCAGGTAACCATTGGATGGTGAATTTGGTGCTTGAGTTGAGAGTCACAGCTTAGAAGTAAATAGTTTAGTGCCCCTGGGTCTTGCGTGAATCAGTAGTCTATACTTTGATGAACCATTTAATTTCTGCCAACGGCTTATCAAAACCGAAGCACTTAATTTCCTCTCTGATCTTGCTGCAGTCTGGAAAACGGCCACAATTAACAGAAGAGCTGAAGGCACTGGAATCACCAAATGCAACCACTATGTCTCAGTCCAGTATAGAGCTTGAGGGATCAGAACTTGAAGTAAAAACACTTAGATTTCTTATTGATGTGTACCGCCACTGCACAGAGAAAAATCCATCTGACCGACCAACAGCTGAAGAGCTGAATAATATGTTGCTTGAACGCCAAGTGACTTCTGGAGTTTAAAGTTAATAAAATGTAGTCCGGTACCATTAGGTAATAATCCCTTCCCTTTCCAAATTTTTTGTAGCCCTAGGTTGTATTATAGAGTTTAACATTTATTCACCTATTTAGGATCAACCATTTGAGTTTCTCAGGAATTAATAACCCTGTCACACTGACTAGGTTTAGCAGCCTCACCAAATGATCCCTGTATACGAGCAATTTTCCAGCAAATTATATAATCAAAATCTGTAATCTGATTCAGATTTGTAAATTCTGTAGGCAGTGTATTCACCAATGTAGCTAACCTGTTTGGCTGTCGGAGCACCCCAATTTTGAAGCTTTAGTCTCTTGAAAACGTTGAATCATATTTTTCTATTCAAATTGGAAAATAAGATTTGAGTTTGACCGTTCCTTTTGGGGCTTTCAATTTTACCCCTACCGTAGATGCTATTAAGCTTCCAGAGGACTGAAGCTAAAGTTTTAAAGTATTTGGAAAAAGAATGTATGGAGAAATTTTTTTAGGTTCAATAAACTTCTATCAAAATTTAGAATTGTTCTTGACACTTCTGTGTTATTTTACAATAAAATATTTATGAACTCTACTGCCGAAAGTGCGGTTATCATCCCACGTTGTCTTTACAACGTGCAATATCGGTCTAGTCAAAGGCACTCTTTATTGAAGTATCTTTTCTTAAGTCGGATCTATTTACGCATGTAAGACTTACATAAATTGTTAGATGTGATATCTTGTTTTTTGTGGGTGAATAAATTTATACAAATGTAACAAAGGATTATATCATTGTGATGCATGAGATGGACCCTGCCTTTGCTGCAGATTTATTAATGGAATAGCAGTTGCTTTATACCAGCACTGCCTTTGTGATGTTGCCTTGTATGTGAGAATATAATGTTGTTTGTTGTGAGTGGTTTGAAGAGAGAGTCAATGTTTCCTCCAAATTATGTATCATAGGAACAGGCGAACAGCAATGGACCACACTACACGCCAACTCCAACGCCAACCCCACCACAGCTACCCCTCAAACGCTGGCATCTGAAAGCAACCAGAAAACCCTATGTATTAAATGGGTCTATTCCATTTAGGGTTTGTATAGGGAACACACACACCAAAGCTCAACAATAAATTTGCCCTCTCCCATCTGCAACTGCAGACATTTTGATTAATGGAATGCTTTTTCCTTTTTGTACTTAACATTGGAATATTATACAGCAATAAGTCTGGCTGAATTTGGGAATTTTTTGGACTTTTTAATTGATGAAATCTTGATGAATTAAATGTTTTAGATTCAAATAATAGGGTAGTCACTAGCAACTAGTGACTAGTGATAGTTTATTTTGTATTTTATTATGCATATGATATTATTTTATAATTGTATATTTTAAATCAATTCGTATGTATTAAATTAAATTTATTTTTAATTTTAATATTATATAATAAAATTAATAAAACTCGAATAAGATTCTAATTTTAATATTATATAATGAAATTAATGAAACTCGAATAAGATAAGATTCGTAATGCAATTTTGTAATGCAATTTTGTGAAGCATGTGATTCCCTCAAGAATTGAACCTTTAGTCAAATTAGTTAGGGGGTGACAAATTAACCTTACCCACTTGCCAACTAATTCAAATCTTTTAGGGATTTCTTAGCGTTTAGTTAATTGAATGCTTTGTTTTTGGACTAACTGCATTGCATTGAATTAGGTTGTGCTCAGAGAAACAGACAAGCTAACATATATAGCAGCAAAACTTTTGAGAGCATTATAGAGGCCTAAAGATTATAGGGAAACCTGCCCGAAACCAAGCACGCCTATGCGCAGCAACTGGACCACAGATGTAAGGCGACGAAGTAGGGAAAGCAAGCAGGTAAGTCCAACCTAGCATATAGGCAGTACCATGTTAAGGCTCCTGTGAAAGATTTTGTGTCGCCAGAGATTGCTTTGAGGAGAATTGGATCCATACTTGGCGCCGGCCGAATGGTATCATGCAAAGTAGTCCTCAGCTTCAGAGTAGAATGCTTTGGTTGTTTTAGGGTTTCTAGTAGCTAGGGTACAGAAAAACGCTGGAAAAAGTCATGGGGACAGCTATCTAGGTCTCTTAACAAGGGGCAACAACGGACAATAAAAACCCAGTCTACATCCAATTTGTTCTCTAAAAGATCAGCACCAATTATTTGTATTTCTTCAAAAGTAAGAGATTTTAAATACAATGTATGGTGTAAGTTTGGGGGAGTAGGTTAGTTAGGACAACTTCATGTCCAAGTAAATGCACCATCACATAAAGAAAGAAATTAACAAATATTTATTTCTCTAAGTTATATTAATTATCTTTTTTATAAATCATTTTGTCAATAAACTCTTAATTTAATTATCAAATAACATGTTAAAATTTTGAGAGATCTCACTCTCTCAAACATATATTTTTTTATTAAAAAAGACAAATTTTATTATAAAATAGAGTACAAGAGATACTTCTACTCATTTAAAGATAAAGTTTACAAGCAAAACCAAATCCAAAAATTAATTTGATAATCTTTAACTCTCAAACAAGCACCCATTAAAATTGCAAAAAATACCAAACACACAATTAATGCACAATTCTCTCTTGTTGTATGAATATGCAAATCTTGTAGAAACGTGCACATTGTACATGACAATGCAACATGTAGTGAAATAAATGAAGGGATCATATATAGTAATTAAATATATATATATATATATATATGCATATATATGTCATCCTATCCAGAAACATAACATTCATTGTCGAATAGCCTACGTGGTTGCCTATGCAATCAATTATATACCTCTGGAATATATAGATACTGCAAAATCTTAAACTTTAGCATACAATCCAATTAATTAAAAATTTATGATTTTCATTCCTGATCTCGAATTTAGATTGTTCTCCATTCATGATGAGTTCTTAGGCAGATAGGCTGAGATTATAGCTGACAAGGCACCGTCAGGGATGAAACAAGTAAGATGGAGGATGAGGAATGTAGATTATGCTCCATCTCCGCCAGAATATATAGAGCTCTTTATATATATGTGGAATATTTCAAGCATCATATATTGATTAATTTAATAAAGAATTATGTTCATCAGTTGGGTCGACTAATTATGTCTAGTATGTATACTTTCTCAATTAATTATTCTTGATTAAAAGAATTTCCCCCATATATATATATATATATATATATATCTTCCATGCATGTCTCTGTATATTTATGAGAAACTAATTATATATTACACTGCACTTCACTAATAAATGTTGTTTTTTAGGATAAAATAAGTGTCAGTAATTTACTCAATCTCCATATCACAAAATAAAACACCTGACCTTTCAAATCTAGTGATATTAGTCACATTAAATAAATGCACTTTTTTTTCTTGAGCAGATTCGATCCTGTATCATGTCAAATTATTAAAAAAAAAATCACAAAATAAACATGTTGTTATGTACATATATGTATATCTATCAATATTTATGCTAATTATTTTCAAAAAAATAATTTTTTTGTAATTCCAATCCTAATATATATAGCTCATGGCCAAAAACAGACATGCACGCCGGCCGGCACATGGAGAGATATTATGAACATGATTCGTATCTTGGTTTGCCGAAAGAAGAAGAAAGAAAAGAAACCATTCAATCTCATATATGATCTTCCTTTCCCTTATACACAGCTTGTCTCCTATTGCGTTTATTAATATAATGTTTGTATATTGCCTTGATTGATACAATAAAGTTCATCTTATGATTATCATTTCCCTCTCTATTGGAGGACTTTTTATGATTACTCATGCTCGAAGCGACCTCATCTAACATCATCAAGAGATAAGTCTCGCTGACCGAGTTTTGTTGACATAGTAGTTTTGAAATGATTTCCTAATTTGGAGCTCAACCTCATACTCATTGCTCCTAATTCCTAAGTTAATTAGTGTCTTTTGTTTTATAAGGTACCCTTCACTAAACCATGTTTGTACTTGTTTTATTTTATGATTATATTTTTTTATGTAGAGAGATTAAGAATTAAAATCAAAATTTATAACTAAAAATATAAATAAACTCTAATATTAAAACACATTACTACTATGGAATTTCTCTTTGATTTGTAATTAAACATCATTAATAGAAAATTTTATTGATATTTTCTCACTCAATAATATCTAGGCGTAGGAAGCCTACGTAAGCTATATAGGCCTGAATTATGATATGTGGGGTTTTTGAAGCGTCTTGTTTCAATTGGCTGCCTCACTGTGATCCCACATTATGATTAGAGAAATATAGCAAAGGAAGAATATATTCCTGTGAGAAGGATGAAAATGATTAATTTTATAATTTTGCACTAAAAAAAGGGTATATTCCATACAAAATCTCAAAAGGTTAGGCAAATCGCATTTGGGCTTTTACAATTTGATCATAATTAAATATCCTATTAATCCTTGAAAAAAATGACCAAGCTTAAATTAACAAAAATGCCCTTTTACAGGAGTATTAATTAAGTCATTTTTGTTAAATCTAAGTTTTGTTTAGAAGTGTTATGCTTTGTTGTGATGGTAGGTTTTTTTTTCTTTTTTTTTAGTATAAAAATATATAAAATATTAATTAAATTATTAAAAATATTGAAAATATTAATTAAAACTATTTATAATAAATATATATTTTTAGATATAATGCTAGGAAAAAAACGTTACATAAAACACTCAAACGAAGTCGTACGTAATTTGTATTGATATTTCTTTTTTTGAACAATTTAGATTGGCAAAAAATGTTCTGTTATTCACAAGTATTAATTTCCTGCACAAAACTGAAAATTCTCATGATTCTCGAAATCTCCTATTAAACAAAAATTCTAAATAGCCATAAGATCCTAACCATCTCCTTAGTCATTTTCATGATTGTCAAAATCATCTGTTAAAAGAACACACCAAGCAATTATGCAGCTGGCACCAATCAATAATGCAGGCCCAGAAACTATCCAATAAATTGCAAATTTTTCAAGGAAAATGTCATCTTCATCAACAAAAAAAAAGATGCTTTTAAAGAAATTGGATTAAATGTACATCACAATAATCACAAATTAACATTTAAAAAAAAAAAAGAAAAGGAGAGAGAGAGAGAGAAAGAAATAAGGAAAAGATTCACAAGACATTGTAATTTTCTTGTGTTACTTCAGATCTCTCCTTCTTTTTCCTTTCCTTTCCCAACCTTATGCAACCTATGAAACCAAACCATGCAAAATGGTCCCCCAATTGCTCTTTCTTTTTGGCTTCAGCTCTGATTCTTTCTTCCCCTCCCTTCCTAGAGAGAGACAAAGAGAGAGAGAGAGGGGGGAGAGGGAAGAGAGAAAAAAAAAATAAAGGGTCCCCTACAAAGGTAAGGCCCCAACCTAAAAGTTATTAATGCTCTTCCAATATGTATATAGAAACACTCACTAACCTTGTCTGCAGAGAAAACTGCGGCAGTTGGGAGCTCTGGCGTGACAATATTCAATTTGCTTCCCACATTGGACCACACCAATTTTCTTTCTTTCTTATTTTATTTATTTATTCCTTTGCTTCAGTACCTAACCCTTCAATCTCTGCTATTTATATCCTCTTATATCCTTTGCTTCTTATCAAGCGAAGCTCCCATGGCAGCCTCTCCTTCCGAAAGATTGCCTTGTTTAAATTTTTGGGCCTTCCATGGAGGAGCTAGCTAGGGTGCACCACCATCCGATGAAGCTGCCAGCATGATCTTAACCTCCCTCCTTTGTTGAGGAAAGATCAGATCATGTGGCAGTTTCACCTGTTGTTGGTTGCACCAAACGAAGCACTTAACCCTAATTCCCTTCACATGAAACCCTAATTCCCAAATCCCCATACCCCCTTTTTCCCCCTGTTTCAATCCCTAGAAGGGTCTTTCCTTTCCCTTTGAATGATTCAGATTCATCCTGGGTTTAATGGGTTCTCTTTCCTTTTTCTCTATGTGTTTTGTACTTGTTGGGTAATTTGTACTTAATGTTTTGCTTCTTTTGTGTAGAGTTCATGTATGGAGATTTGTATGTGAAAAAAAAAAAAAAAAAAAAAAACTTTACACAGGAAGATGTTTGAATGTCAGGAATTTCTGTGACATGATCATCTATTAATCTTTTTGCTTGTTGGTGGGTGCAGTTTTTTTATGAATTCAAGATCCCTCTGTTCTCCTGGTGCTTTGGTGATTGAACCTGATCGATCAGGTATTTTGTTCCTCAAGATGACCGTACGGATTGATTTAATAAATTAAAATTATGGGTATATAAATAATTAATACCTCCTGTTTATGTGCAGAGCAATGTATTGTTTGTTTAGGGTTTTCATACTACTGGATGTGATTTTGAGCCTAATCTCTAAGCAATTTTATCTTCTCTTTCCGGTCATTCTGAATTGGTCTTACTTTTTTCCCCTAATCAACACCAGAGATTCACAAATGGGGGAGAGAGAGGGAGAGCTGGAACTTTTCTAAATTTACCTGCTATATGGAGTCATGTATGGTAATTACTTGTAGTTTGATATGTGATTTGGTTAAATCTTGAACAAATTCCAGCATTAGGTTACTAATAGATTGATTGATGAAGGAGATATGAAGTTTTCTTCAGTTTATCTAAGACAGAAAAACAAATCCGCATAAAACATGTATTGAGTAATTGAAGCTCAGTAACGATAATAACTAAAGTAGAAGAAAGTGTGGAGATACCAAGAATTAATCTGAGATGACAAACAATAGAACAGAAACTCTGTCCTATTTTAGGAGGATTTTTTTTTACTCACTTATGCATCTACCTCTCATATATCTTTCACCAGATATCTCTACTACTTTTAAAGACTTAGCTTTGATTTTCATAGAACCTTGAATCTATCAATCTATTATATATTTTTCTTGCTTAATTTCTCTCCATGTTCTGTTTTTATCTTAACAAACCCCTTAAAACTTTAAGCTTATTGGTCTCTTCACACATGAAGAAGG